GCTACATAGTGAGTTCAAGGCCAGCCTGAGCTACATAGCCAGACTCTGTCTCAAAAAAAAGGTAATATATTGTTTTAAAATATTAATTGCTATGATTTGGTTCTCATAAGTTATCTAAATTAATTGGGGTGGGTTTTTTTGTTGTTGTTTTTGGTACTAGGGATCAAACTTAGGACCTCGTGCTTGCCAGGCAGGAACAGTGCCACTGAGCTACATCTCCGGCCCTACATTGATTGTTAAGATAAATAACTGCCACACAAAACTCTCCTCTGTGACTAAAAAACAAACAAACAAACAAACAAAAACCTTCCTGAACCAATTTGCTTCAGTTTTCTCCACTGATGGATTTTTCTCCACTCTGGTTTTTCCCAGCGTCTTACCCCAGGAAATATTATTAAGTAAAATATTATGATATATAATTAAATTGGCTATAATTAAGAATCTACTATCTTTCAATAAATTTTTCCTACTCTTAAAAAAAAAGAGTCTAGGGCCAGGGATTTAGTTCAGTGACTTTACCGCCTGCCTCGCAAGTGCAAAGTCCCGAGTTCGATCCCTGATACCAAAAAAAAAAAAGAGTCTAAAAGTTTTCTATGCCTAAAGCAGTAAGATTTTCTTAGGCTTTTAAGAGGCTCTTGGTTAAATTTATAAAAACTAGATTAAGGGCCAGGCATTTAGCTCAGTGGCACCGAGCCTGACTTGCAAGTGTGAGGTCCTGAGTTTGATTCCGGTACCAGGAAAAAAAACAAAAAGAAGAAACCTAGATTAAGAAACAAAGCTTTTATATTTCACTAAGATAATTTCTTATGTTTTCCATGGTTAGACTTTCGGTTACTTGAAATACTAAGTTTTGTTGAGTATGGAGACGGACGTTTGTAATCTCAGCACTTGGGAAGCTGAGGCAGAAGGATCACCATGAGTTTAAGGCCAGCCTCAACTACATAGTGAGTTCGAGTCCAGCCTGAACTACATAGCAAGACCCTGTCTCAGAGGGGTGAGGGAGTGGCTGACATGGTGCAGTCTGGGAGTGGTTCCCCTCAAAGTCCTGGGGGCTGCTGCTTTGGGGGACTCCTTGGACCCAATGGTGGCAAACAAATGCATGCATTCTCATGGATGAGAACTGGAGAGAGCTGCTGGAAGAAGAGTGGATGATAGAATTTTATGCTACATGGTGTCTTGCTTGACAAAATCTTCAACCAGAGTGGGAAAGTTTTGCTGAATGGGGAGATCTTGAGGTTAAAGTTGGAAAAATAGATGTCCCACAGCAGATAGGACTGAGTGGACAGTTTATCATAACTGCTCTTTCTACAACTTATCAGTGTAAAGATGGTGAAATTAGGTGCTATGAGGGTCCAAGGATTAGGAATGACTTCCTAAACTTTATAAGTGAAAAAGAATGGACGAATATTGCACCTGTTTCATCCTGGTTTGGTCCAGGGTCTATTCTGATGAGTAATATGTCATCACTCTTTCAGCTCTCTCCTTTTTTTTTGGTACTGGGGATTGAACTCAGGATCTTGTGCACTTGTGTGGCAGGTGCGGTGCCACTGAGCTAAATCCCTGGCGCTCTTTCAGCTCTCTATGTACATTGACTTGCTATGTCTTTCATTAAAGACCTTGGACTACTACTTTGAGAATTCATACACAATTTTATTTTATTTTATTTTATTTTATTTTTGGTACCAAGGATCTTACTTGGGACCTTGCGCTTGCAAAGCAGGTGGTGGAACCACTGAGCTAAATCCCCAGCCCCACAATTTTTGTTTTAGCAACTTTGCTTTCAGGACTATTATTAGGACTTTGTGTGATATTTGTGGAAAAAGCACAGATGATAAACATATTCTGCAAAAAAATCATTACCAGAATTTTCTCAACCTGGGAAAAAAAATGGTGGAGGAACAAGAGGCTGATGAAGAAGATATTTCAGGAGACAAAGCAGGGCTGGGGATTTAGCTCAGTGGTTCTGGCGCCTGCCTCGCAAGTGCAAGGTCCTGAGTTTGATCCCCGGTACCAAAAAAAAAAAAAAAAAAAGAGGAAGCAGAAAATAAAGAAGAAACAAACAAAGACTTTCCATAGGGTGTCTTAAGACAATGCCCTGTGGGTCCTCGTTGGGCACAGATAATTTAATTTTTATAAATATCTTAATATTGTAATTTTGAAAAAAAACCAGAAAATTGATCATTTCTCTTGTTTTAAAGTGAACTATGGCTGGGTGTGGTGGCACACACCTGTAATCCCAGCACTTGGGAGGTTGAGCCAGGTCAGCCTGGGCTACATAGTGAGTTCAGGGCCAGTCTGACCTACATAGTGAGACCCTGTCTCAAAAAAAAAGAACTACAATTTGTATATTGCAGAGTTTAGTCTAGATTGTCATTGGATTGAACATTTTCATTCAGAAAATAAAAACAGGTATAAAGGTTTCAATTATGATTTAAGAATATTGTGTATTAAACAATTGTTCATTTTGGAAAATCTGGTGCCAGACAGTAAGATTTGTGTATGTAATTGTAACCTCTTTCAATTCTGAGTTGAAAAAATTTATTTCCTAAGATTTACATTTTGTGGGGTATTTAAGATTACTTAGAGAGGCAGGTGGTGGAACCACTGAGCTAAATCCCTGGCCCAAGATTACTTAGAGAAAAAAAATCTGATTTGATGTAATTTTTCTCAATTTCACTGTGTGAAAAAAAGAACATTATTTCCTATAAATGGGAACTTTGCCTCTTATCTCAAAAAAATGTGTATTTTGGGGCCGGGGATTTAGCTCAGTGGTTCCAGCACCTCCCTCGAAAGCTCAAGGTCCTGAGTTTGATCCCCGGTACCGCCCCCATGTGTATTTTGTGATAACTTTGGTCTTTTAAAGATATGGTCCAAAATTTCCCCAATTTTTTAGATTTTTCAGGTAATCAAAACTGTCTTGTTTAATTACAATCTTTTTTAATATCATATATAAGATATGCTACTGATTTAAGAAGTTTTTATAAGTCCTTGGTGTTCTCTTAATTCCTATAAAGGTTGGTTGCCTGTTTCATTCCTTTTTTCAGTTGTATAGTTTCTTTCTTTTGCCATGTGTTTCATTTTTTCATATTGGATGATATGAACCATATCACTGTTATATTTACTGTTGGTAAACATTTTTGTTGTTTTAAATTGAAGTTTACTGAGATTCATCAAACTGTACTATTAAAAATTTAAAATTGTGGTCAATCAGTTCAGATTTTACATTATGATTGTTGCCCCTCATCTTAAATTTTTCTGTGTCTCTATGTTCATGTGTATGTACATGTGTGTGTGTTTATGTGGAGGTGGACATTCCTGGTTTTTATTTGATGTGCAAAGGGTTTGGTATTTTATATTTTGGAAATTCAAAGCTTAATTTGTTATAACATTTGCATTCTGCTCAGGAAAAAACATCTTCTGTATGTTTTAAGTGTATCTTTGTCATTATATGCAAAAAGTTCTTAATTGAATTTGCAGTTAGTGGATGCTTGATGTTTAAAATCATAACATTGTTAATGTTTTAAAAACAAACTATTTTATTGCTCTTGACTGCTAATATTGAGTACTATTTCCCAGGTGGAAATCATCAACGTGGACCACATAGTTTTCACCTGACAACAAAGGGGGATGCGATACAGGGACTATATTAGCTACAAGAAAGAGAAAAACAAGAAAATGAGAATATAGCTTGGGGAAGGGATCCTTGCTTTTCTTTTCCCAAAGCCAGCCTCACAAAGTCTGTTGCACCGCGCTGGAATTAGCCATGGACAATGACTCAGTTGACAGGCCCCTGGCTGACATATGGTAGCAGAGTTCAGTCCCTTAGGTTCCCGCCAATGCAGCTTGTGAGACCATACCAGGTGCTGGTGCTCACGTGTATAAAAATATCATTCACACTTTCTCCTTCACTCTTGGGGTGTGTGTGTAGTTCACTTGCTTTTGATTGGCCCGTGCCACTCCTTGCCTGCTGCCCAGTGCCTATGACCCTGACTTCGGATGGCAAGGACACTAGAAACACAGAGGCCAGCTGCCAACAACAGCCACAGTGCGTGGGAGGTGACTGGTGATTAGAACATTTAAAAATTTGTGCCAAGGGCTCAACGGACAGGTCTCTGCGTTTTGCCAAGCATTCCTGGAGATGTGAGTGTGGGGGGGCACACTTTCGGCCCTTTCACACCTGGACGGCAACTCGCAGGTCGATCCTGCCACAAGAGGCATCGGGCAGATAGATGGTCGACCTCAGAGCACCATCTGTCCACCAGCCAACGCTCCTCCATAGCTACCTGGGAGCCGGGCGTGTGCACGTCTCCCGGTCCTTTGGATTCTGTGCTTTGGTGTCAACTCTCGAGGGCGTCATACAGGAGGGACTTAGCTCCTTTGGGATGAGTATACGTTTGGGTTTCTCACTCACCCCTTGATGTAGTCACTCGTCCACAATGTGCGTAGGTCGAAGTCCGGTCCACTCGCGGACCTGTAGTGAGCACGGGTCCCCCTGGCCCGTATTCGCCCGCCTAGCCACGCCACCGGCGCGTCCGTAGTCCCGCGCGCAGTTCACACCTTGCAGGAGTAGCAAGGCACCTACCTACCCCAGACTCACGCGGTGACCCTACGCGGCGCCTTTATAGGACCCAGAGGGGGCGGGGCCTACCATCGATGTGACGCGATGACGTCAGACGCACGGAGGTGGGGTCGGGGGAGGTTTTGCTTGCTTGGTCCCTCAGGTCTTGGTCCTGCATCCTCTGCTTTGTCGCCGGTGCGGATCCTACGGCCCGGCCTGGCATCTGCCGCTTGGCCTTGCGCCCTCCTTTCGGGGCCGCGCCCGGCCATGGGCCCGCTCCCGCTGCGCCGTCGGGCTGAGGGCCGCTGAAGCGCGGCGCCAAGATGGGCGAGGGCGGAGTAGGGCCCGAGCGCCAGCCCGAGCAGCCCGGGCGCCCCGCGCGCGCCCGCCCGCGCCGCCGCGGGGATGCCCGCGCCCGCCGCCGCGCCCTGAGCGCCTTTGTTTGCCTCCCGCGCCGCCCGCTGCACCCCTAGCTCGGCTGGCGCCGGAGTATGGAGACGGGCTGGCCCCCCTCCCCACCGGGCCCAGAGCAGCCGGCGCGGGGGGACCCTCTACCCGAGGTGCGGCCCGCGGAGTCCGAGGACCAAGCGCCCTGTCGCCGCGGCCTGACCCCCGGGGCCTCAAGCGCTGCGGGCGAGCGGCTGCCTGTGCGCCACGGGCCGCCTTCTGACCCAAGTCAGGCTCCACCGCTGTCCGGAGATCCCGCGTCTGGTCCGGAGGATGGCGCGCGCCTCCGCGCTGTGTTTGACGCCCTGGACGGGGATGGGGACGGCTTCGTCCGCATCGAAGATTTCGTCGAGTTCGCCACGGTCTATGGGGCGGAGCAGGTAACGGCCGGCGGGGAAGCGCGGGTTCGGGGGTTGTTTGCAGGGGCGGGGGGAGGGCAGAGGTCTGCTCGGGGAAGCCAGGTCATCCTCCGACCCCACACCTGCTACCTCTTCTGGTAGCACAACTCATTCTTCCGAGTGAGGACCGCAGACTGGTAGACGCCTGTTTTGGGCACGGCCACTTTACTGTGCGTCCTCGATGTTTATTCTACTAGATTTCATCTCGTTTGGGAGGCAGCGCTCTCAGAAGGTCCTAGGAATTAAAGATGTTCACTTGTGTGCCTTCCATGATAGGGATAGTGAAGGGAATGAGCCGGGGTGCTCCATGACTCTTGCAGAACTCCCATTACGGCCTCCTGCACTCCTGACTGAAAGGTGAGCTGCGCAGCCAGTGACGGAGGCACGGTGGTGTGCTGGGTCTCCTCAGGAGGCTGCTGGGAAAGCTGACCGGGAGACCCCTACCTTTCTGTCGCCCTCAGCACTCACTAGCGTCTAGGTGGAGGACACAGAAAGGCTGTGTGTGCTCCATTCATAATCTTGGAGACTTTAAATAGATTACCATGTTCATTTTAAAATATTTTAGTGGTAGGAAATCCCTTGAGGTGCTGATCTGCTAATTTTTGTATGTTATCCGTTTCTCACGTGCGAGCAAACATTTGTTAAGTGGGTGTTCAAGTACATATGCATGTTTTAGGCAGGAAGTCTTTAGACAAGAGGTATAATTGACACACTGCTGTTTAGGGTGTCAATTAGGACATTAAGAACCCTTATAAAGGACCCATGTGTCCCCCGAATATTTACAGTATCCATTGAGCAGTCATTGTGAAGAACCAGATTCTAGGAATTCTGTGCTCCCTGTTGAGTTTCTGCCTAGAAGGATGTGTAAGTGCCTGCAGCTTCTTGGATGTCAGTGTTCAGGCAGTAGGCCTCCCATTCTTAGGTCTGGGCTGGAAGACATTGCTGGGGTAGGTTCATTGGGAAACACCTATGTGCCTGATTATTTCCTGTGTGATTAACTTGGGTTGTGGTTGCTGGTCCAGGGTTTTTGTTTTGTTTTTTATGTTTTTCCTTAACTCCTGGGCTGTAGAGTGCCTTGAGTATCCTTGGTGGTAGTTTACTAGTGAGATGTGTTTTTTCTCTGCAAACATACTCTTGTCTTATTACACCAGTCAGATATGTCAGGCCAGTGCTACGTTTATGCTCTTCTTTACCATAACCTGACTCTGCTCACTTGTGTTTTCACTGACTCATTTTCACTGTTCTCTGAAGTGGGAACTAGGGATGCAGGTTTCATCCTTGCTTTATAGGAAGCTCAGAAAGGTTAAATAACTTCCTCCAGGCTCCATAGATAGGGATAGATGTTGGTTCTTCTGATCCTCACTTGGGGATGGCTCCTTTTAGATGTGTGGCTCAGAATATTCCTACCAAGTTTCATTTTTTTGACTTCCATAAAACTCTCTTTGAGAACATCTTTTGTTATAATTTCACCAGTTGATCACAGAGGGGAAAAGCTTTTGATTGCTTTTTGAGGCTGAGCTTTCTTGTAACCACAAAATAGAAGTAGGTCAAAAGCTGGGGATGGTGGTGCACACCAGTAAAATCAGCATTTGGAGGCTGAGGCAGGAAGATCACCCTGAGTTCAAGGCCAACCTGGGCGACACCCAAAAACTCAAAAACCAAAACACCAAACAAAATAGAAATGGCTCAAAATTCTTTGTTCTGATGGCTCCAGGTGAGTTTGAAGTTTGGGGGAGGCCTGTATGACTCAGGGTTTAGTGGGAATGGAGAGTGGAGGGATGTCCTATGGCATGGCTCCTCTGCTTCTGACTCCTCAGGAAGTAGCAGTGTTAGGCTGATCCAGGTGCTTGGACTTGGACTAGCTTCTGGGGAGAGTGGAAGAGAGCTCTTGATTTCTTTGAACTGCTATTTTGGAGCAGATGATGTACAGAGTAATGACAGGTTGATTTCTTGTGTCTGTGTAAGCTTTGGTAGCCTTTATTATGAATGACTCAGGCTTACTTTTCTCCAGGCCCAAATGAGAGCGCGTTATAGAGGAACAGACAGATATTTGCTGATGATGGAGTAGTTTAAAGTGAAGCATTCTCCCTGTTGTTGAATATTTTAAATCTTTTAAAATGAAACATGCAGGGCGGGCATGGTGGGACATGCCTCTAATCCCAGCACTTGGGAGGCTGAGACAGGAGGACCGTTGCAAGTTCAGGGCCAGCCTGGACTACATATTGAGTTCAAGGGCAGCCTGGACTACATAGCAAGACCCTGTCTCAAAAAAAAGAAATTTTGGGGCTGGGGATTTAGCTCAGTGGTTCCAGCACCTGCCTCGAAAGTGCAAGGTCCCAAGTTTAATCCACGGTACCAAAAAAAAAAAAAAAATCAATGATAGTAAAAAAAAAGAAAATTTTTTTTTGTTTTTAATTTTTAATTAATTAATTTTATTTTTTTGGGTACCGGGGATAGAACTTGGGTCCTTGCGCTTGCGCAGCAGGCGGCGAAACCACTGAGCCAAATCCCTGGCCCCTGATTTTTAATTTTTATTTTTGTCAGTACTGGGAATTCAACTAGGACCTTGTGTTTACTAGGAAAGAGCTCTACCACTGAGCTATATCCCCAGCTCTGTTTAAATTTTATTTTGAGACAGAGTGTCACTAGATTGCCCAGACTGGCCTGGAACTTTTTTTTTTACATTTCAAAAGTAATATTTAATTATGTGTGTGACCCTGGGAGAAAGTGATACTGTAACTTTTCCTCTGTCCATCGTTTTTATTTGTAGCATTTGATTCATAAAGCACTGCCCAAGGAGTTATCTAAATGAGTGCCTTCCCAAGTGGATATACCAATTCACACCCCTGACCAAAAGCAAATGAATGTTTATTTCAACAAACTCATTTTTTTTTTTTTGGTACCGGGGATCAAACTTGGGACCTTGCGCTTGCGAGGCAGGTGGTGGAACCACTGAGCTAAATCCCCGGCCCATCAACAAACTAGTTTTCAAAGTCTAATGAGGGAAATGTCTCATTATAGTGTCATTTTATAAATCTTAGCATATGAGAATGAATGTATTTTACAGGGAAACAGCTAAAATTATAGGTAGTTTTTTGTTGTGGTGGTTTTGTTTTTTTGGTACCGGGGATTGAACTCAGGTCCTTGCAATTTTGAGGCAGGCCGTGGAACCACTGAGCTAAATCCCCGGCCCCTAGAGCTAGTTTCCTTTTTTTTTTTGGTACCGGGGATCGAACTCGGGTCCTGGCACTTGTGAGGCAGGCGCTGGAACCACTGGGCTAAATCCCTGGCAAGAGCTAGTTTTTAAAGACAACCCTTCTTGACTCTGTTAAGCACCAAATATATCAAAGTTTTTCTAAAATAAATGGATACATCAGGTGCATTTATACTATTCTCTGAAGAGTTTATTATAAATTAGTTTCATAGACCACAAGAAATAAAAGGACTATGTACAGCCTCACAGGAAACAGGCAAGGAGTAGAGGAGGGTCAAGATGAGTCTAGGGCCTTGGTGGGTATCTGGCCTGGAACTTTTCTTTTTGGTTCCCCGGGATCGAACTTGCGCTTGTGAGGCAGGCAGTGGAACCACTGAGCTAAACCCCCAGCCCATGGCCTGGAACTTTTGATCCTCCTGCCTCACGTTCCCACACTAATGGGATTATAGACTAGAGGCACCATAGCCAGTTTAAGACTTTTTGTTTTGTTTTGTTTTTGAGACAGGATTATAACTGTGCACCACCATGCCTTGTTAGGATTCTTTTTTTGAGACAGGGTCTTGCCTTGTAGTTCAGAGTGGCTTTGAACTCACTATGTAGCCCAGGCTGGCCTCAAACTCATGGTGATCCTCCTGCCTCAGTCTCCTAAGTGCTGGGATTATGGGCTTGTGCCACCATTCCTGGCCAGGATTCTTTTTTAAACATTGGTGATTTTTCAGAATCCCTAGGGACATTCATATAAGCCTGATGATAGCAGTAAAGACCATAGTTTTCTGTACTTTCCACTTTGAGGTTTCAAAATACTGATTGTATGACAGACTCTGGCCAGTCATATTGCTGTTCTTAATGATAGCAACTAGATTATCTTGATTTTTGCCTTATTTTCAGAGATAGCATGTCCAGTGTTTTTTATGTAACCTGTTATAAAGGTAGCATTTTAAATTATTTAAGTGGGTTATCTGAATTTTTAATAGGGCAGCTCCATTCCATTTATCATACAGATGCTGTGGTGTTCTTGTTTCTTCAGCAGTGTCATGGTGTGTTTGGATCTCATTGTATCATTTGGTGGTGGATCAGGTGTGGTGTTACATAACCCACTGTTATGTCACAGGAATCAGCAGGTAAAGGAGGAAGTGAACCACAGTGGAACAAGACTTTATAGTTATATATCCAGGTAGCAGGTGTGAAGTTGGAATAGATTACATTCAAGACTTCCACTGTCTCTGACATGAACTCCACAATAAGAGAGGGCTAATGCCTTTGTAGTCACCACCAACCCATCATTCAGTAGAGACTGTAAAATAACTTCTAAGAGTGTTGTGAGAAAGAATTGATTCCTTTTTGAAATTATTACTAATGGGCCGGGGATTTAGCTCAGTGGTGCCGCTGCCTTCCTCACAAGCAAAGGTCCTGAGTTCGATCCCCAGCACCCCCCCACACAATTATTATTACTATTATTATTTTGTTGTTTGGAGACAGGGTCTCACTATGTAGTTCAGGCTGGCCTTAAACTCACGATATAGCCCTGGCTGGCCTTAAACTTTCGGCAGTGCTTTTGCCTCAGCCTCCCAAGTGCTGAGATTACAGACGTGCACCACCACCTTTGGTGAAAAAATTTTTCATAAAGATTATCTTCACATTTCATTTTTAGAGCCACTTAAGCATTTGCATTTTAACATTCACTGATCTTTTCTAGAAAACCCTGCTGATTGGCATACCGACTGCCCTTTGGTAATGGTGGTGGGCCATCCTCAGTACAGTAGACTGG